TGAACCGACTACGATGCCAGAAACACTAATGCCTTCTGAACCGATGCCACCGCCTATGCTACTTCCAAAGCGTGAACTACCTACGATGCCAGTAATGATCCCACCGCCAATACCACTTCCCAAGCCTGAACCGACTACAATGCCGGAAACACTAATGCTGCCTGAACCGATATCACCGCCTACGCTGCCGACAAGTTGTGAATTGCGTACGTTGCCAGAAATACGTACTCCGCCTACTTTGAGAGAATCTAAACGACTCAGGACGGCAAATATTAAATATTTTAATGACATATATGTCACTTATTGAAAAAATAAGATATGTATTGCAATGGTTGTTTCCACCGTATTTTGTGTTTTTGTTTTTTTGGGCCTAACTCAATCTTAGTTATTTATAAACATCCATTGCAATTATGGTCTTCAATGAATGTATGATGATCTAATTTTTGTATGAGTTAAATCACTGCTTTTGAAATCAATGAATGTATCTCAATATTTATTCTTGCAGTGGCTATACTAGACATTTTTATTTGAGTACGGTGTTGTTAGTCTCTTACTTGATTTTAACTTTACTTTTTATCAATTTATGTATGTTCTTCGATGTATACATACAATTATTTGGGGTGTTTTATAATTACAATATTGCGACGCACGTAGAAAATGGAACAAGTACCTCTTTCAAAGATAAATCCAGATCATTGCACAAGGAATCAAATATTTACAATCCATCGCCTCTCAGCAACTTAACAAATGGTAAATAATTCAATCCAAATTCTACTCTTTTTTTGTATTTATGTATTTTTTTAAGAATTAATGTTATTTTTATTATTGTCAGTGACACTTTGTACCCCCTTTGATCGGTTCTTTTCGCCATCATCATCCTCCTTTAATGCATCCAATACTTCATATAACCATGGTAATCTTTATCTGCCGCAAAGTTGTATCACACAAAAGAAATTGGTAATACAAGAAAGCGACCGTGTCAAGTAGGTATGCTTCATTTTTTCTTTTAATTCCTTATTTTAGTTTAAACGCATCAAATCTTATAAGCTAACTGATATTGATATTCTTTCGAATTTTATATTATATGAATATTACAATCCACAGTTAATGAAGAGCGCAATACTTCTTTACCTCGAACTGCTTTGGTAAACGATTTTGTTACGCAAACTTGGGCGATAGATTCAGATTTGCATCGTGATGATAAGCATATGATTCCATCTGAAGTGGTTAGGGATTTGGACAATGACTTTATTGATGAAATGGATTTTGTCCCTACGCGGTGCAGAACGTCATTAAGGAAAAAAAATTTTCAAGATGTCCGTTCCTGGGACATAGGTGATTGCAGTTACAAATGTAAACACTGCAATGCCTTCTTTTGGCTAGAAAAGCACGTGCTTTGTCAGTCTACGAAAAAAGATCCTAAATATTCTCTCTGTTGCGTCGAGTGGTATTGCCTCACTTTTGTTGCCAGGGGGAAGAACTGCTCACTCCCGGTTTGGAATTCCCATCAATCCCCATGAAAATTCCACATGTAACATTAAACAGAAGACACCACTTGCAGATTTATTGGTTATGAGCAAGCTTATAATTTGGGACGAAGCACCAATGACCCACAAATACTGTTTCGAAGCTGTGGACCGAACTCTGCGTGACATAATGAGTGGAGTTTGCCAATCTAATTCCAATCTTCACTTTGGAGGTAAGACAGTTGTGTTTGGGGGAGATTTTCGACAAAATCTACCCGTCATACCCAAGGGAAGAAGGCAAGACATCGTCAATGCTACAATTAACTCTTCTTATTTGTGGAATTATTGCACTGTTTTACGCTTGACAACTAACATGCGTCTACAGCACATGTCTCGCGATGACAATTTAGAAAGCATGAGAGAATTTGCAGAGTGGGTTACGAGTATTGGCGATGGTCTTGCAGGGCACGAGAATGATGGAGTTGCTGAGGTCATTATCCCAGAGGACATGTTGTTAAAAACTATAGATGATCCAATTGCATCTATTGTAAATTCAACGTATCCAGACTTCCACAATATTGCAAATGATCCAACGTATTTGCAGAGTCGAGCAATCCTCGCACCAACACTAGAAGTCGTGGATGAAATTAACGAATACATGACGGCATTGAATAGCGTCGGAGAAGCTAAAATTTACTTGAGTTCAGATGCAGTTTGTAAATCGGATTTAAACGTAGACTTTCTATCGGACATGCATTCCCCCGAATTTCTTAATAACATACGAGCATCTGGTGTACCGAACCATGAGTTGAAGTTAAAGATCGGAACACCAATCATGTTGTTGAGGAATATTGATCCATCTTCGGGTTTGTGCAATGGGACAAGGTTGATTGTTACCCGACTTGGTAATCATCTTATTCAAGCTACTGTGCTTACGGGGAAAAATATTGGTCAAGAAGTCGTTATCCCCCGATTGTTGCTTACCCCGTCAGATACGAGAATTCCTTTTAAGTTTCAAAGGAAACAGTT